AAATCACAAATTCTCTGATAAAAACACCAAAATCTGTTATTAAAATTAAAGGACACCCACAGCCCCTTCCCCCCAGCCCTGCCAGAGGAAGCCCCCAGCTGCCAGAGCTATGGGGCCAGGGCCCCAGGTCCACAGCTCTTTGCCCCCAATGGATGGCAGCAGCTGTTGCAGCAGGAGAAGCATGGAGCCAGCTCCCCCACTGCTGCCTGCTGTGGGCTTGGGCAGGGGCAGGGCCAGCACTGGCTCCTAGCGGCAGCGCACACTCCCAGGGGGCAAGGGGGACCCACACCCTCCAGATCTGTGTGGGAGGGTGGGGGCACGCTGTGTGCAGCTTTTGAAGAGCTATTGTACTATTGAAGAGCCAACAGTATGCTGCTGTGTGTCCACACTGCTGAGTGGGCAGGCACTCCTGCGGGAAGCTGGCTGAGGAATCAGGGAGGTGTTGGGGGAAGCCCCATGGCAGCTTGTGGACCAAGAGTGGTGTGGTATCACCAGGTTGGGTTTGTCTGGGGGTGGGGGCAGGGGTGGGGCCAGCTCCTGTCTGCAGCGCAGTCCCGGGGGCCATGGGAGAACCATGCCACCCAGATCTGTGCAGGGCTTTGGGGGCAGGACGGGTGCGCACTGTGGGCTCATGCTCCTAACCCTGCTGCACTGCCCTGGGGCTTCCACAGCACAGTGTGTGCGACCCAGCACAGCAACATGCAGCGGAGATGCACACAAAAGCTGGCTGCTGCTCTGAGCTCTGCACTGCCCTGGCCACACTTTCTGCAGGCAGGGGCAGCAGTGCAGAGCACAACCCTGCCCTGCCCCTGTGCACACAGGGGAAGGTGATCAGGGCAGTGCGGAGTGGCAGGCAACTTTCATGCATGTCCTCGCTGTGTCCTGCTGTGCCGGGTTGCATATGCTGCTCTGCAGAAGCTGCGGAGGAGTGCAGCAGGTCTGGGCGCACAAGCCTGCAGCGTACACCCACCTTGCCCCCACTTCCCACACAGATCTGGGGGACACAGGTGCGCCGTGGGACTGCACGCTGCCACTGGGAGCCAGTCCTGCCCCCATCCCTGGACAAGCCTGACCTGACAATAGCGTGCCGCTCCGGGTCCATGCGCTGCCAGCTGGGCAGGCACTCCATGTGGGGCTTCCCCCAACACCTCCCTGCTCCCTCAGCCCCCAGCCACACAACACCCTGTGCCCCCATCTGCCCTGCTGGCTCTTCCCCCAGCACTGGCAGTCACCCTCGTCCACACCTGTCCCCCTGCCATAACCCGCAACCCCCTGCAAACCCCACTTACCTCACAGGCTCCAGGAAGGAAAGTGAGCCTGAGCCCAGCCTTGGGCAAGTGAGTGCCTCAGGCCTGCCCTTCCCCCTCTCCCTCCCCGCTCCAGGCAGGGTTGGGGGTTTTCTCCCCTTTTTGCAGTTAGCTCTTGCAGGCTGGAACTCTGCCACATGCACAGCTCTTTGCAAGTGGGAAGTCTGCAAGTTTCTCTGATAAAAGGGAAAATCCATTTTTTCTCTGATAAAATTGGGATATCTGATTTTCTGTTTTTCTGTGGAAAACAGAAAACTCAGATCCTTGAAAAAGAGGGAAGTTAGCATTTGTATGATGAGAACTAAATATATTGATAACGTTTTGTAGAAACAGAACACTGACTGCTGTGATTCTCCTGCTTTACCTGTGGCAGTTTAGGGTGTTAGGTCTACATTGTGTCAGGGTTGAGGGTAGTCTTATGTAGAGTTTAGCTTATTGGCTGTATGGGATGATTTGGATAGGGGTGATCCTGCCTCCGGTAGGGGGTTGAACTAGATGACTTCTGGAGAATCCCTTCCCACCCTGCTTTTCTATGACTAAGATTTTGATGTGGTGGCTTTCTTTTTTGATCTAAGGAGACCATGGAAAAACTTACCTGGCTTGCAACTGAGAGGCGTTTGAGCCAGGAGGGAGATTCTGAAGAAGAGAATTCTCAGGAGGAGAATTCTGAGCCGGAGGAGGAGGAGGAGGAGGAGGGAGAAGGGGAAGGAATCGAGAGTTTACAGAAAGAAGATGAAATGACAGATGATATCACTGAAGATGCAGCAATGGAGCCCAAGTCCACCTTCACTTCGACCAAAATTGCCCCAGAGGTGGAAACAAACAGAACACCACCAGGTGAGTTTATGGACTATATGGAGAAATCTGCAGCAGCAAAACAAGCCATAAGAAAGTTATGCCGTCATTTAATTTCACCCAAAAAGGCTTTAACTCTGCACTCTCTTGTTTTTGAAAAGGAAGCTTTGAAAGACGGATCTCTTTACATAAGCAGAGGCCTCTGTGAGCAACCTGCTTCTATCTCTCCATCTGCAATTCTGTCGCACTGAAAAATGGTTACATATGCATGACTGTGGGGGGGCCTCACAGTCTATCTCTGTCCTTTTCAGATTATGTGTCAGTTTGCCAGTCACAGGGTGAATTTTCAAATACTGGTAGCTCATTCTAGGTTCTGAAAATGGGGCTCTTGATCAGTGATGTTTGAAAACTTTCTCCAGTCAGAAGGTAGCTGTTGATTATGTGTGATTCAGAATAAGAACATAAGTGCCATACTGAGTCAGATCAAATCTCCATCCTGCCTAATATCCTGTCTCCATCAGTGGCAGGAACGGATGTTTTAAGGGGGGAACATGAATAGGGTATATCTAGAGCAGCAACTGACAGTGGGGTTTTTTTGCGGCAGACAAGAGAGACTCAGTTCGTAGATGTAGTTAGCTGTGTTAGTCTGAAGTCAAGTAGAAGGCAGGATAGATTTTTACCTTAAAGATTAACCAAATAGACAGAGAGAGATCTATTTAGGTAGTCTATTAGATGCAAATCTTAAAGTATGAGGTGCAAATCTACCATGCCTTTTATTTGATGCAGTTTGGGTCAGGTGGGCAGGTGCTAGGACCTGGCTCCTGCCACTTTCCCCTTCGCTGCATAGGGAGAGCAATAGCTTCCAAAGCTGTGGGCTGGATCTGCCTGCTGTAGGCTGCCAACCCTTGGTCTAGAGCAGGGGCAGGCAATTATTTCGGTAGAGGGCCACTTAGTGAGTTTTGGCAAGCCATCAAGGGCCATGTGACAGGCAGCCAGGGGCAGATAAAATTAATTTTCTACATTTTCTAGGGGCCCCACGGGCCAGATAGAATGGCCTGGCAGGCCGCATCCGGCCCCCAAGCCGCATTTTGCCCACCCCGGTCTACAGTGATCTATCTCCTTTCAGACCCTCTCTGATGTCCACCATCATTGGTTCAGAGATGCCAGAGGATACATCCCTGACTGTTCTGTGTAACAGATGTTACCCACAGGTACTCAGGGAGCTGGCAAGCATCATAGGTCAGCCCCTGGCACGGATCTTCAAGAGCTCTTGGCACTCTGTTGAAGTACCCGATGATTGGAAGAGGGCCAATGTCATGCCTATCT